ACAAACGTGTACAGATTCAAGTTAGCAGCCACGCACTGAGTAGGAACCACTTGGTGGCTGCTAAACCCAGCACAGTCAGATCAAGAACGCCAGGACAGCTTTCGAAATCAGGGGTAACCACTACGTAATGGTGGATACCAGGACTACCTGATTACATTAGAAGTGGTCCTAGCAAAGGCCAAAGCTCTCATTACCTTCACAGAACCACAATATTTCTTTGTACATGTTCTCCTCTGTTTCTAGTGCTTTTATGAGATTATTCTTACATATCTCATATAACAAACCAGACTGGATCAACTTAAAACTAAGTGGAAAGTTTTATGCCTCCAGACATCCTCATTCGCTTCGTCTGAAAAGAGCAGGAGAAGGTCAATGGAATTTATCTTTTTTCCCCAGCAGAAGATGCACCTTTGCATATCAATCAATAAAGTTTACCCAGTTATTCTTGTCACTTGCTATGTCAGCATTTCTCTCTTTGTATTTGTAAAAATATTTGTAAACAAAAACAAATTAACCCAGGTCATGAGCTGGTAATCAAAATACAATGTACCAGCGCAAGGAGATGGTGAACAGCAGGAGAATTAAGAGAAAAACAGATAATTCTCTTCTAAAATAGAACTGCATGAATACAATGGTAGCACTTGAGCAGAGAAAGCATCAGAGGCATGAGCAAGAACAGAGGCCACCAGCTTCTGAAACTCCTTGGCCCTACTAGAATAGTCCTCTGGACTAAACTGTGGTTAAATCCATCCAGATATTTACTGAGCACCTGATATTTGCATTAGTTGGCAGTAAAACACTGAACAATAGTCAGTCTTGTCTTAAATCTAAATTAGCTAAATAGCATTAGACAAAACACAAAAAACCCTCATCATTTGAGAGCATGTAATTTTTATTAAAAACCCTAAAATTTTAATTAAAAACCCTAAAACTGCTTTGGCAGTCCCAGATCCCTTAAATATAAATGTCTCCTATCTTCTATCATCAGCCTCATCCGCACATCTTGACATGCTCATCACCGTGCTCCCCGTTCCTGCACCCTGCAGTCAGGGCCCCCACGCCAGCCACGAGCGACTTCTCATTCTTCCACTGCTGTGAAATTACTACTCAGTGCCAAATCCGCTGGGGCGAGTTCTAAAGCCTCGCTCACCACTTCAACCCATTTTCTTTCCCAGCTTTCTGCTGCACCACCACACACATCCTTGTCTGTCCTTGCTGGCTTTCACCTAGACTCCAGTAGGCATGAAAGTCACCAAGATAACTGTTCAGACATTGGAGATCAAGGTACAATTACTGCTTGCATTTCTGGTGCAAGTAATTGGCACATGAGTTTGAGAAACAAAAAACAGGCTCCATTCAGGGCAACGGAGCCAATTGAATTACCTGTGGCAGAAAACAAACAAAAGGACGAGGAGGAGAAAGCACGTTTCCAGTGAAGCCACTGCCATGCACCAGGCTTTCTACCCTGTTGCCATATTTTGAAGATCCATACTTATGCTCACCTCCCATATTATCTTAAATCAGGCTCTATTGCATCAAAGACTGAAAAAATTATCTTTGTGGACCAGAGTACAGGAGAAGTCAGGATATTTAGCTCTGCAGAAGGAGCAGGGAGACCAGCAGCAACGCCAAAGCCCTCTTGGGACTCCTCTCACACAGATCGCCCTCGGTCTCCAGCGATTCAAAGTTGGGTGCTGCCATCTGTTGACAACTTCCCACTGCAACAATAAATAGGTATTTCTCTTAACGCATGGCAGGCGTTTGAACGTTTTATCCTGTTCTTAAACAATGGCACAAGGAGCAATGGCAATTGGCACCTGGAAGTACTGATCATGTATCTGACAGCAGAAGCGAGACCAGTCTGTACCCCGCAGACAGGTCACCAACCCTCTCCCAACTACTTCTGACTTAGTAAGTAATTTTCACAACTCAAATTAAGTTCTGACCCCATTTTACCACCTGTGACTAGGACCACTGATGCTTACCTTCTTGTGATCAGCTGAGCAGGTAAGAAGGGACTATAGGCAGTGCAGCATCACCATACACTGTCCATACCGTAATATGACTAGCCTCTCCACAGCACAACAGCCGGGCAAGCGGCTGCGCTCACACGGACCTAGGTGTTCAGATTTGGCCTAGCAACCAGAAGCAGACCTCCAGCCAAAAGGCCAGGACTTCTCCCGACATCGAGAAGGGTATGGAGGTGACACAATCACTTCCAGACTCGTTCAGTGTTAGACTGCAGGGTATCCAGGATAGCACCAGGGGTAAAGCTTGGTAATTCAGGGGTCTGCAGCGCAGACGCTTTCCTCAGGTGTCACCCACCCTCCCAGTTTCCCCCACATGGTCAACTGCCTCTGTCCCACAGGGGACTCCTCCATCATTAACACCCCCCCTCTGCTCCACAGGTACCAAACACCTTCTCTAAAGGCATTTTTTTGCCTTGATTGCCAGTTGCAACCCGTACTGCACTTTCAGCTTTGTGCCATTTTCCCTCTCACCTCTCCCTATTAATCCTTTTATTACCTAAAATGACAGTTAACTTTTACCTACAAACTGCTTTCCCAAGGCATATGCCCTCAGCTCACAAAACATCACTGAGGCTTAAAAAAATATCACTTTCAGATTTTAAACATGTCTAAGAATTTCTGCAAACCCATTTAAAGCAGTTGTGTGGCAGGGCATGTCATAATCCTGTGTGTCAGCTCCCAAGTCCCACTTCAGAAGTTCCTTGAATCTCAGCCAGCAGCGATTGCCCAGGAGTAAAGCTCTCGTCAGTGAGGTGCAAGCTCAGAGATCACCTTATGAACTCGGATCAGCCGCATCAGCTTCCATGTGTGGCAAGCCAGTACGTAGTTACATTCGTTAGATATGCTGTGGAAAAGGTGCATCTGCTGCTGCACGCTTCCCTCCAAGTCATTCTTTTTACACTGGAGCTCTGGTTTCCATTTAATAATTCTACAAAAGTCATTGGGCTGGCTTGTGAAATAAATTAAGTCTATTCCAAACTAGTCTGTCAACTGAGAATACCAGAAATTCTCTTACTTCAGAAGTCTCTGTGGTAGTAAAGGACATACACAGGTAAACTCATTCAGAAAAACTGACGTGCGTGTCCTGTATAAAATTAGTTTAAAATATGAATATCAAACTAGCAGGGAACTTGAAGCCATAGTAAATTCATCTAAAGGAAGCCTTAACGTGTCACTGCCCTTCCATCAGGTATCAGAAACGTGTGTTCTATTCCAGACTGATAAAAATAAAAATTTTATAAAAAGTAACAGTAGAACCTTGATACGATCTTCAGGGTCACTCTGAGCAAGAAATACAAAAGCTGGTCTGTGTATCAGTGCTTAGTACTGCAGAATTAGCTCCATTAAGGATAGGGAAAAAAAAAAGTGTAACAAAAGAGCTTGATTTGACAAGAAAAAAGGGGTCAAGACAGACTTCTTTTGACTTCGTAACTACTTTTTGAAATACAGGGTACAGATCTTTATCTTCAGCTAAGCAAATTTGTTTCAAATCAAACTGAGAACCATACTGATCACATTTGAATGTTTTGATGCCATCTGCAGTCCATACTTTGTGACCGTAACCAGCATGTGACTGAGACAAAACAGGTAAACTAGCCTTTTTTATTATTCCTCTGCTCTTCCCAGTCAAGGTGCAAGTCTGTTACAGGATGCTAGTGTACACCACCAGAACACTTACTGTAAGCACTCTTTCACAGCTCTGTTGCTAGCTTCTTGTTCCTCAGAGAAGAGCCACCACTTTAGGCAAGACTATGCTGCCCGTCTACAAAGAGTTAAGACCTGTTTGCTTAGCAGTAAGTATCACCTTCTCCTTTTCTCCACAAAAAGTAATGGATTGAACTGAAACAGGTTACATAAAGACTTTGTGCCTGAAGACAGTCACCTCCATCCCAAGGCTCTCCGAAAAGCTTTGCGATGGAAGTATCACCTTCAAGGCACAATACGTCTAACTCAAGCAACTGTACATATCAAGCATCAGGACGTACCACCAAGAAGGAAAATTGTTTCCAACTGTTTATACCAGGAGAACCACAAATTCGACAGCTGTTTTAAAGCCTTGCTACATTTCAATAGGTTCCTTCCTAATGAAGACTCCAAACAAATCGAAGTAAGGCAAGGCATTTCCAACTGCTGTTACACGACAATGCAATCAGCCCAGAAGCTTGCTTCCCATTCTCTACCATCTGCAAGTAGCTCTTCAGCTGTAGTCACCGGCTCTGTGTACTGCTTTGGAAGAAATGTTGACTTTTCTCTATCAAGTACTGCCACACATCAGATGCCTGAAACAAAGACCAACAACTCATTCAATACTAAACATTATCCTTATTTCCTCGCTCCAAAAACTTAAAGAAATCCCTAACAGTTACGTCTTCATGGCAACATGCAAAGCAGCTGCACAGCAACTACCTACCCAAAACTGATGTTTCGAAGGACTTTCAATGTAGAAATTTGAAGAAAAAAAAATTATTCACCTCTCTACCTCAGTTACTCCTTACACTGCAAGATGTGGAACAAGTTTGTGATCCGAAATCAAACTTCAACCATCTTAATTAGTCCACAATCCCACATCTCGTAACTTTTTAGACCATAAACAGGAAATACCTGCTGGCAAGGCACCTTCTATTATTCAGCCAAAAGGTGAAACTATGCAGCCACACAGACGTAACTATGGAGACACGTGTATCCAACATCTAAGAGGCTATCCCATACATAGCCGAGTATGTAGTTTAACATCAGAGTTCCCCTGCTGAAGCTATTCTGTAGAGCGACCTGTAACTGTCATTCAAGTGGTAACTATTAAAAGTGTGTTATATCATTAACAGAAATAAAAGTTGTGACCAGGGATGGTGGGGAACCCAAACGTCATTTGAAGTAAAGTTGGAACTTAAGCACTATTGAAGAGCTGTCTGTTACAAGCATTATCACAGGGAGCGTTCGAAGTCATTAAAATACTGACTGGAAACACCAGAGTCCATTTGAACAATTTATTAGTATCCTCTTTTTTTACAAGTTTTAGAAAAAGAATCCCAGGATTTTGCCTCCCGTGTGTTTTCGCCTAGCCTCCTCATGGTCCATGATGCCAGCTGAGGTTGTCAGTACAATGTACCTGTTAAGAAAGAACAAATGTTCAGTTTATCGTAAGTTTTGTTCTATGCTCGTGCAGAGCTGACAGCACTACCTTCATTTCTGTGTTACACTAGTAAGATATGTTTCTGTAAGAATGGGCCTAACGGAAGATCAGGTTATCAGACAATGAAGAACTCCTCTCACAAGTACAACTCTGCAGCACACAAAGGACATTTATAGGCTTCTGTTCTCCAAATATTTTCCTAAGTCTCAGCAAGTTGTTTTCTTGCGCGTTCCCACCGTAAAGTCAGTCCAGCTGTTGTAGCAGCAGCAACTTGATAGTCTCTAGACAAAGTCTGCTTCTATTTTAAGCAGACGTTTTTCTTCAGAGCAGGTAGAGTTGCCAGGGTGCCAGACAGCTCCTCAACTCCGAGCGCTTTGTCTCTCAGTGTTTTGAACACCGTGCACTGATGCAGATGAGGATCTGCATCTGGACTGACAACTGAAGCAGCCTTAGTCATTGCTAATGCCAACATCTGCGTTATCAGCATACTTCATCCACGTAGCTTCACGTCTGAGAACCTCCTGTCCCCACTAAAGTCTTAAAAATCTCAGTATGACAACACATCCTAGTAAGCTATATAGGTACAGCTAAAGCAAACGGCTTATCTCTGGAGCTTTAAGAACAGAAACGACAAGGACCCGTTAATCCTGCCTTTGACAGGGCAGACTGGCTGAGCCCCTGAAGACTCTTCCAGCTCTGTCATCCTGGAGCACTGAGATCTATCACTCCTGACTCAGTGAATTTTGGGAAGGAAAAATACACTGCGTAATAGTAAGATTTTCTATGTAGCGGACATTTGTTTAACAGAGGCTTCGAGTCTCCCATCACTTAACATCTAATCAATTTATACACAATCAGGAAGTTTAATTTAAAAGTAGTACGACCTACTTCCATTGACCTGGTAACTTACACAACTCCTCCCCATCTATAAACGGCCATTAATAAAGTTAAAACGAGTAAGAGGAAAGCCCTATCTTCCCAGTAAACTGTAGAAATGGTGAAACCAGGATTTACCAAAGCCAAGCAAAAATAGGTCCTTGCTTAGCAGCGTCCCCTTAAACTGGTTAAAAAGAGCATTTATATGGAAGATGGATTTTTAGACTGGTATCTATCTCCAGATTGATCAGAGAGGGAAGGTGTCAGGAGAGTCTAACTTGGGCAGTATGAAAGCATAATAAACCCCCCCGCATTTTCACATACGACAAGGATTTAACTCTTCTCCGTACTTACCCAAACTGACGTGAAGGCAGTAGGTTGTTCTGCCACTTTTCCAAATCCTTCAGCTGAACATCAAATCTGGGACTGATTACACCACACTATAAAACAGAATTCCATTACAAACTGAAGAACTTTATAAACTGGATTTGCACGCTTGTCATTCCAATTCACTGGATGAAGGAATTTAACAACGGCAATTAAAGTATTTTTGGGAGCAGAAGATTAGAGTACCAAGAAGCACGCTCCGTTACCCGTAACATGAAACAGCGCTTCCTCTCAGGTAAGTTGAGACTCTCACACAGCTATTCAGCCGTTATTTTCTTAGCCTTGCCTCTTCCTCCTCACTTAAATAGAGTGACTTACACTGCTGCTGAAGCTAAACTAACAAATCAATGGCTAGACCTGGGAGAGCACAAAAGCATACTATAAAACCACTGAAGATTATTAAACATCCTGTATCATCAAAAATCCTGCTATTACTCAGGGATAATCTACTTCTAATCATCACACATAGTCAGCAAAAAATACCTGTAGATTCTAAACAGGGAGAAATTAACATGCATAAGAGTTATTGAAGTTTTCAAGTTAATTGTATTACTTACTGACCGTGACCCCTACTACCACCAATTATCTTAATAAATATCCAAGAGCAAAACAGAAGCACACCTTCCTGCAGCGATGGATATTTTTCTGAACCAAACAGCTGTTCCCTTATTGCAACTATTGAGAGAAACATTATATCCAGCTGCACCCGGGAAGTTCTGTTACAAAATCATCCCAGAAGAGTTCAAGGAACACTGTACTCAAACCCGACATACATTATTTTTATTACAGACACATAACACTAGTAATTTGGGTGGTGCCAGAATTCTCTGCCTACTACACTCAAGCGATTTTCAGCTGCAATATTTGTTCAGTGTGGAGACAGCCCCCAACATATTGTGACCGAGTAATTTTTTTACTTCTTTACTAAAGAGCCACCTCTCCCTTGAATAGCTTAATTGGAAACGATGATGCACAGCAAGCCAGCACAGAACTAGACAGCTCAATATTGAGACAAACGCATTTAAAAAATTTCCAAAACACACATGAATACTTCATATGCCCCAGGAACTGAAAAAGCATTAATTAACATAACATTCAACTTTCCCTCAGCTGCAAGCAAAGCCCATCTAGCGGCAGGAGAAAGGCTTGTCTTTTCAACATTTACAGGTATTAAACATCAACCGGAAAGCAACTCAGCTCCTATCTCTTAAGGCAAGTCTTCTAGACAGCTTAAACATCAAAGAAAACTGAGGAATGACTAGGTAGCCAGAAAGCCTTTAAAGAGAGAGAAGCACACAGCACTTGCAAGCAGACTTCCCTGAAAGCGTCTTACATATTTGGAGTTTAAAAGAAATTTAATTAGTCAACCATACCATTATGAATCTAGAAAAACTAACAAGCATTTGCTAACCACTGATAATACCCATATTACTCTCATTTACCTGGATTCAATAAACACCACCTTCTTCACAAGTAATTCTTTCAGAACTGGAGCAGGCAAACATTAAAAAAAAAGTTTCATTTAAACACCTTCCTAGAGAACTGAATTCAGGAAGACAAATCCTACCTTGTTGAGCCTGCCTGTGAGATTGACAACAATCTTCCCAGCTCTGTGATCGTCAATTATCTCAAATTCACCAATGTAACCTACAAAAGATTAGCAAACAGACAAATCAAATATATAATACTTAGCTACATTAATACAACTCAGTCAACTATGCTGTACAAAACTAGTTCAAGCATCTTGATTTACTTTTAGTCAAAAAGCACCTTAACACAACAGCATCCACGGAAACCATGAATGACAAAAAAGTCAGCGCTGTGCACTCTAGACTTACCGTGCTTCATCATCACAGTTAGAAACCGGACGATTACTTTGGAGCACGGCCTAATGAGAACTTGGCGTTTCCCACGTTTCTCTGCATTGTTGATGCTTTTGAGAGCATCGGCTAGAACATTCATGCGCACCATGGTGCCTGCAGGGAAGAGGAGAGGCAGTTACGCACACCAGCTTTTCAGCACAGAAATACTGAGCAATGCATTTTAAGGCTAATTTTAGACTTAAAAGATCTAAGATGGACAGAAAGTTCCAATAAACCTTAAAAACCCTTCTTAGGCTAAAAAGCACATCAAATCGCGTACTCAGGGATGCTCAAGAGGATTCACAACTATCGTGGCAAGTTAGGGAACCTGACACACACACTTAAACTTGGCTTTATCAACACGCACACACAAAAATTTAAAAACCACCATCTAGACAACATGTCATCAGTATGACACCTTTCCCAGGTGAACAGTTTCGGACTTCAAAACCCAGTTATGCAGCATTAGCCCTGTTCAAAAACTACACGGCCGTACGTGGTATTAAATACCACAGATGCTTCTCGGCTTGCTGATCTGCAAAAAACCTGCAGGATGCAAGGGCAACACGGCACTCCGAAAAGGAAACCGGACGTCAACTCTTGCATTCTCGTGATAAAGGCAAGAGCACCCGGACTACCACAAAGCACGACGTGACTCGGTACTGCGGCCCCACGTACTAACGGGGCCAGCGCACCGCCAGAACCAGCCAGGAAAGGGCTCCTGCCTGGGCCACAGGGCCATTCCCGAGACGGCCGGGTCCTGCGGCACACGGGGGCTTTTACCACTTCGGCAGGGACC